CATCGATTAGAATACATCAAACTGATGAAAAATGGCGATGTGGTGGAAGAATATTTCATGGATTTTCCAAACAAACAAGCCACAACACCATATTTAGATTTGATGAAAAGAGTAGGAATACTCAACAGCAAAGAAGATTTGGATATGTCTTACAACGACTATATTAAAGGCTACACTCTTTTTGGTTTTGATTTAACCAATGACCACGGAGCAGATCAAGTCAATTTTCACCCCAAGTCGTCTGGAAGTTTGTCTTTGGAATTGAGATTCGAAAACGCTCCACAGAATCCACTTAATTTGCTATTGTTTGCTGAATACGACAATGTCTTGGAAATCGACGTCAACCGCCAAATATTGGTGGATTGGTAAACCTTTGTATACTGCACAGTTGGAGGAAGGATTGGGTTGTCATATCCCTGAACAATTTGAGGGTGTCCTGGCTAGAAATCAATTACAGACGTTAAAACCAACCCACTATCCCATGGCATACGTCGTTAACACCGATGACGAAGACCAGCCTGGAAAACATTGGACCGTGTTTGTCTGCGAAGAAAACCATTGTGATTTCTTTGATTCGTATGGATGTCCCCCAGAACTATATGGAAAAGATTTTGCCGACTTTGCTCAACGTCAAGGACCAGTACGACACAACTCCCAATGGATTCAAGGACTCCAAAGTGTTGTGTGTGGTCATTATTGCCTATTTTACCTGTGTCATAGATTCCACGTACCCACATCAAAAGCCTTGTCGGTGTTTAAATCGAATCTGACTGAAAATGATCGTTTAGTACATGCTTGGACCCATGACCATTTTCCCTGTTTAAGATTTGAGGATGGCCAAACTTGTCGAAGATTTATGGATGTAAATACGTTATAGTTATTGTTATAGTTCAATTCTTTAGTTTATTATGTTATTATTGTTCATTGTTGATTGATTATAGTTGAATAAAGTTTAAAAAAATACCACGTGATCTTTTTTATCCAATCCAAATCTCTTTCCGGTTGACAGCCTATAAAATCGCAGCCATTTGTCTTTGGCCATTCATTTGCACCATGGCAGCCCAACCTATGATTGTTGTGCAACTTGTGGAAGTGGATGACAGTCCTGTCAAAGTATTTACCCGCAATGGTAAAACTGTCATCATCACTCCGGATGACATCTACCTTTTGGAAGAGTCGGCGGTGAACGAGACACCTCGAAGACGGAGAATCACTCCAGAGCTGTTAGCCAGCGTCCGTCAGAGGTTCCGTCACAGAGTTCGTCGAAGGCTCTTCTAAAAGGAGTGAGTTAAAAAAACAGCCCTTTTCAGGGCTACCTAATCAAAATAAAAGAGTTCCCTTTTCCTTGGGTTTTACCCCTTAAACCGGATGTGACGTCATCCCTAGCAACCATTATGACGTCATCCGTTGCCTAGCAACCAAAGTTCCTAGCCCTAGCCCCCTACTACTGCGTATCTAATATTTTTCTGTACAGGAAAATTATGAATGTAAGATTATGAAATTGTTCTACCCTGGACAAAATCTTAGATTTAGGAAATGAATATTATCAGTTTCTTTAGAATGATATTACTCAATCTAACAAAAAAAAAATGCACGATTGCAACCTTCTATATATATATATGAGAAAATTCAGAGTAATCTGATTTTTTTACTTATATTTCGAGGAGTGTTTTAAGGATTTCAAGAAAAAAAAAAATCAAGATGGCTTCAGCTTCACTAAGAGAAAATGTGATAAGGAAAGTCAAAGAATACGCTTAAATAAATATGTCCATGATCTTTGTAATCTCAGGGATGAAAACCAGCTAAAAACTCACAGTGAAGCGGCCACGCTACAGCTACAACCATTGGACCAAGTGTATTGACATTTGACGATACACAGCTGTTTCCACTGAAAGGTATTGATTCATTATTAGAAAGCACCATAAAGAAAGCTGTCAATGGGACATTCTACTAACTGCAAGATGAAGAACAGTGCACTGGTTCAATTCCACGTTCCAACAGACGGACACAGATACTCCTTTACAGAAGAACAGAAGCTCAGGATAATTCAAGATAATCTTCGTTATAATGAAGAAAAGGAAATGTTGGATCACCAGGTGCTAATGGATAGCTGACCCCAGTTTTCTATTAAACAACTACCAGGCAGCTTACAGTATCCTACTGAATATTAAACGTACCTAACAGATTGTAACTAATAAACTACAGATACAGGATATGGTTGATTGGCAGGTAGCAAGGAAATTATCAATCAAGGTGGTGGAATCATGGAAAGGTTCACTGTTTTATATAAATCATTTGGCAGTTTTGATCATCATTCTACTCCTGTTTGAATTGCCTTCAATTCAAGTCAAGTCTACCAAGGATTCTCTCTGAATAGATGTTTTCAGTACTCTATAATATAGAGTATTATTGATTAAAATTCAATCATGGCATAGCTCATGCTTAATAGCAATAATGGACAATAATAAATCTGTATTAGAAAAATTGACAGATTCGATGGTCTCAAACTCAGTCGTGATCTTGCCTTATTACACTAATAATAATTTTTTGATTATCCTGAGTATAATGAGATTGATGCTAAGCCTGGTACAGTGGAAGGAATGACACGGCTTATCACAATTTTCAAGCAGACTTTAAAGGGTGATCCCCATATTTGGATTGAAGGGAAGATCTTCCGTAATATTGATGACATTCGTACACAATTTCTACAATGCTCTTCAGAAGCCACAACTCCCTTTAATCAAAACTTTTCAGACTTCACATGTAAATCTGAGATTTCTCCAGTGGACAATCTAGAACAACTAAAAAAAATAACCACACAATTAAAGATGCCTGACAATCAAGTGAAGCATAAGTTTTTATATACATTTTTATGCTGTCCAGTGATGAAAATACCACTCTGCATAATATTACCCAAAAGGCTCAGATATATTTTGATACAAGCTTGCGTTAACCATTTTCTTTTAAGAACAAAAATGGCTCAGAAAGTACTGAAAGAAGAAAGGAATTTAAAAAGGATAGACATTGTTGGATACATTCACAATGTTTCACCAGTAAAAAAAGGAAATAAACCAAATGATTTGTCTGTCAAACAAACAAACAAACAAACAGAAAACAATCTTTGACAGATTGTACAAAGAAAAAAGTGAATGAGGATCGTTTTATTTTATAGGATGGCCAAACGGAAGGCCAACCCAGTCAAAAATCAAGAAGAGCACAAAGAAGTGTACAAATAAATGCCAATTTCTTCATCAGGAGATTATTTAACAAATATACTACTGAACAAAATAACCAAAAGAAGTCTGAAGAGGATATTCAGCAGGTGTGGTCTTTTGAAGTAGGTGTGGTCTTATTGTTTAAAAGTAGGTTCTCTCCCTTTAACTGTATCAACATGAGATACGTTTCACAAAGAAAAGGAGGTAAAATCTTTCATTATTCACTGCCCAATTCTGCTACAATCAGCATACTTTCTTATATTGGTTTTTATATTTTTTTTTTTTTGTGGGAAAAAGGAGGAAAGTAAATCTAATACAAAAGAAAAGATTGAAAGAAATTCCTAGATCTAAAAACAAAATTTGGAATCCTTTTATAACCATTATTCAACATTTTTGTCTTTTGTTTTAAGTTTTGAAAGGCGGGATTAATAACTGTTGAGGTTAGTGCTGTTGTCTATATTTTGGGTTCCTTCTTGTTAAATATGAAAAATTTGCAAATGAAAGGTTTCAAATAAACTTAGTGAGTCAAAGATTTATCTGAATAATAGCCTTAAAGAAGAGAAAATTGTTTGCTTTCATCTCATAATGTAAAGTAGGTCAATGTTATTTTTGCATGTGCATTTAATTAAGGACAGATATAAGATGTCCTCACACCATAGTGATTACCAGTTGGGTATGGTTGTGAATAATGGAAGTCACAACTCAGTAACATGAGAGTTGCGTTCAAAGTTTTTCTAATTGCCACCATACACAGCTGGTGTCCACTATGGTGTGAGGGAAATCTTATGGCAATGTAATGATAGATTTACAAAAAGCTGAGCCAATTGCTTACTTTCTGAAGTTATTATTATGTTTACTATTAAACAGCCAGTTAGCAGTTTAACAATAGCAGGATTGACAGTAATTTATAGATACCAATCAGTAGTCAGAATATTTGATAAGATATCATTTGTCAGAGCTTGCTGTTGATTTAACTGACTGATATTCCTAAATTGTTCAAATGAAACTGAAATTATGTTTCTACTTTTGATACTTTTTCATAAAAAATAAGCCAATAACAGAACATATAATTTCAAATATTGAATATTATATTTCATAAACCCAAATCTATGCCAAAAAGTGCAATTGAAACACAACAACTGATTAGGTGTTCAGCAAGTTAAATGACGTCTTGTCAAACCAACAAGTGTATAGTATAAAGGGATTTCTATACTTGACTTGTACTGAAGTACAGCATCAATATATCAGGGGCCTTATTCTTAAAAACCTAACTAAAAATCGGCATTTAAATGTTCAAGTCATCTGATTGGTCAATCACTAGAATGATTTTAAATTCAATTTTATTATCCAATCAGATTACTGTATTTCTAAAAATCAGGATTTTATTTAAATTATGTTTTTGAGAATAAGGCCCCAGTGTAATAAATTGAGCCAAGATATTTCTCTACATCCACATCCAACTCCATTTTATATTTCAGATAGAATAAACAGTTTCAGATTGAAACTCATAGTGTGTTGAATATTACTTAAAACTACCAAAAAAATAAAATGGACTGAACATGAAGTTTGGAATTTGACACATAAATATCTTGGCTTGATTTTACTTAAATAAATAAATAAATAAATAATAACAGAGATGGAATAATGTGCTATCAATCAATTCACTCTCAAATACCTATATATATCTAAATATTTAAAATTAATTAGATTTTATGCTCCTGATTTGGTTGTATTTGTTTTTCATGTGATATTGGAACTTAAAGAAATCAATCAGTAATAATGATTTTGTAAGTAATTATGTCCAAAAAAAAGTAGTTTTTCAGGATTTTTTTCCCCATTATCATCGGAAATATTTAGATACCAAAATATCCAGTCTTAAAAATTTAGTCACAGAAGTCATGAACTTGATGAATTTAGAAATACAATATTACCTGATAGCAATTTTCAGAGAAATATTAAATTTCAGGAAACTCAATCTTCCATCTTTGCATTGCATCTTTTAACAGTGTAAATAACTAACAGAAATTTATCAAATTTGTGGATTAAAATTTCATAAATATCTTAGATCACAAAATCTATTGGTTTTTATAGTCAGAAGACCAACTCCACACAATTGTTGATCAAAATAATAAATTATACACTATTAATAAATAAACTTCAAACCTGGATGTTTTAAAATATAGTCAGTTTTTTGTGGTCTGTTCTACGTTGTCTGTGTCTAGAGAGGGTCTGTTCTGATGACTCTAGTTTACGTTTATAATCTTCAAGGGAGGTAATTTTAGCTTGAATCTTGATAGCAGCTCCATGATCTCTGTAATCATAAAATTACTCATTATAAATTACAATTTTTAATACTGTATATTTGGTATTTTTAGTCTACTATAATATTTTTAGTCCAAAAACTGAAATTTAATTTTTGTTCAGTCTCTTTTATTTTACCAAAGGGCCATAAGTCATACAGACCTCTAACAAATTCAATCTTTCTTTCCATAAATAGTAATCTGGATTAGTTTTAGTAAATCAAATTGCAAATGAGATTATCTTTGAAACCTAGCATTAACAAGTGACTGAGTCTGAGTTTCCCTGCTTCAGTTTTCACCGATTTTAATTTGTCATTAGTTAAGTGGAATCTCCAAAAAACTCGATCTTAACTAGTCTGATTTCACTCCACGTTATTGGGCTAATGAAGAAAGGCATCATAATATTAATTCTGTTCTTACCTAGTCTGATTTCTAGCTAGTGATTCCTTTAATCTTTTTAATTCTTTTTCTACATTTTTTAATTCTTCATCTGTTTTTAAAAGCTGCAATACAACATAAAAATATACTACATATCTAGTGCTGATAAATCTATTTGTGTCTGGATTTATACCTCACCCTGATAAAAATGACCATTTATACTAGCATGTGCAAAAGATTTGGTAATCTGGTCTTGGTATACCTTTACCATTTTCACAGAGTGGAACATCCTGACCTAGGTCACCTTAGTTTGGCGAGTCAAGTACTAATCAACCTTCGCAAACCAGGCACGTTTGAATCTATTTATATTTGTAAATATTAAAGAGTGATGTGTCTGATTGAATAGGTGTAAATGAGAAAAGTCATCATTTACATATTCTCTTAAAACTAGTTTTCAAATTTTAAATTTAAGGTGTAAAAATGTTGCTAGTTTTCTAGTGTTATCCACAGATTGAACCCTAGATCTTCAGGATTACAAAGCAAGTATTTTACTCACTGTACCATTGCTTGTCTTTGTGAAAGAAATTAACAACCTAATCTTCAAAGGATAAGTATCTGTCATAGATAAGATTTTGTTAACCAGCTGGTTATTGACTATACATCTTGACATTGATCTTTCTCAGAGTGTCTTTACTTATTTTACAGCTGAGCGAGTGAAGAAGGATACCAACATATATAATGATTAGAAAATAATAAATACCTGAATATTTAGGTGTCTATCTGATTTAGAATGAAGATCTTGTTCACTAATATGTTTTTTACTAGATGATTTACCCGATTGCCCACTACTAGGATGTTTTCTCAACTCGTGTAGATTTCCTGAAAATAGAAAGCCAACGTGAAATTAGGCTGCACAAAATACTATTCATGTCTAAATATTTACTTTATCAGCTAAAATATCAATTTCTATTTCGTTAACCAGCTGATAGAACTCAATTTCAGCCACTTGTATATCTTAATATTTAAATTTCAGTTGTTTTATTAGCTGATAAAGCTCCATTTCAGTTGTTTTACCAGCTGATCTGATGGAGCTCAGTTTCAGATAGCTTTCTAGTCTATTTGTCTTACCAGCTAATGCGATGCAGTGTACAATGAGAGAAATTTTAACAGGGCAGCATCATTGTTTGATATTTTTGGAATTTTCAACAAAGATTTTTTCAATTAGCACAGCTTGTAGCAAAGAGGTACTATTTACAACTAGAATGCACTTTTTGGTCCGAGATTTACAGGACCACCAAGGTGTAGAATATCAAGGAGTGTTATAGATAATAAAGCTAAGTGAACTGTTTAAACAATGATCAAACAGATATATTATATAGAGTGACAGGTGAATATAATTAGACTATAAGACAGACAAACAGATATGGAGGGTATGAGAAGAATATAACTAGACTTTAAGACAGGGCGTGGGGGTCCACCCAACACCTAAATAAACAACTCTTATCTCATCTATATATACATATTATTATACAGATCTTATTTAAAATAAGCCTTATCTTTCAAAATTTTAAGGACACAGTCATCTTAATATTTGCTATACCAGCTGATAGAGCTTAACTTCAGCTATCCATAGCTCTTTTAAGAATTCTTATCAACCATCTGATTCTCTCGTAATTTAACACAAGCATATTGCTATATACTATATCTGCATGATGAAATGCTAGGGGATAAAATTACCAGCAGCTTAACTATCCATAGCTCTTTTCAAAATCAATATTAAGATGTTTGTATCACCTGCAATCAGCTAAATCGCATTGTAGTGATATAAGCAACATGATGTCATGCTCTTAAAAAGGTTAACCATATCCCGAGCTTTTTAATTTAGTTTGTGAACTCTCATAAAATAATATATTACAATATTTTGAAAGTTAATGACAAATATATTATTTGATGCTACCACATCATTGTATCAACTGGTCTCAACTTTGTCCATTGGATTATAATATAAATAGATATCTCTAAGTTTTCTATGTTGTTGGCCAGTTGACTGATACAAGACGGTTTTCTCATTGTGATTTCATTTTAATGACTATCAGGAACAAAAATTTAAAAACTTTGAAGGTTATTTTTCCCAATTTTTTGACCAACACCACCCTCAAAATAATATAAGAAAAAAAAACAACTTAATAACTGAAAAGATGAATGAAAAAAATCCAGCCTCTCTACGTTTTTCTATTGTATTCTAGGCCAATAGGGAACAGTAATAAAAATATATTTACTTTTACAAATACTTGAAACACCTGATATCAAAATACATAGATTTATCTGATTCATGTTACATTTTCTCAGGTAAAACAATAGAAATCATGGCTCATTAATTCTAGTACAAACGATGATGTTTAAATACTAATTAAAGATAATAATAGAGATGTTTTATACTAGTTTATAACCATGTGGTCAGTGTATTTCAGTTGAGAGTGGTTTAGAATGATATATAGAGGTAATTTGAATGTCCCTGGTATGTCACATGACAATAGAAGTATATAATATAACAAAGACTACATGTAAAGATACTATTTATTATTCTATAGGTATATATCTATCACTGGTCCAGTCACTATTCAACATCAAAGGTAAAGTTTTTCTTCGTTTTTTTTTCACCTATTTGCAGAATTTATTTGTCCATTTTGATATTTGCAAAAATCATCTTGAAAAATATCTTAAAAACAGCATCATGGACATATTTTTTATCATTCTGGACTTCTAGTCTAGTCTCTATTTAACAATCGAAGGTAAAGTTTCTATTCTTATTATTTTTGCCTGAACATAACAAAATATTTTCTGTTTTGTTATTAGTAATATTTATGCATTAGCTAAGCAACTTAAAAAATGCTTTAATACTAGCATCTTGGGATTTGTCTTGGAATCACGGTCCAGACTAAATTTAACATAGGTATAGTTTCTATTCTGAATTCAGCAAAATTAGCATTGTAATGATCTGTCTTGGTCTTATTTTTTATCTGAATGTTTTACGTATATCACAGTTCAGTATTTGCCTACATAGGCCTACCACATACTGGTCAAAGGTGGGCTTCAAGTTCAGTCATAATATAAAGGTGACATTAATTGTCTGGCCCTGATCGTAAAGATATATCAGTATATTACGTCTATAGAACTGGGTAGAGTCAGTAGTAGATTTGTTGGGTTGAGAATATCTTTATTTTAATGATCTATAGTATATTTCTGTTATTAAATGTCTAAAAACCTAACAAATGCAGCTACGCGTTACTTTCATAAGATATATATTTTGATAATGTGCCTGTCTCTGTACTGTACATCACAATATCTTAATATTTTATACTACATTAAAAGCTTGGTGACAATACATCACTGTTACAATAAAATATTATTTATTTTATTAAACTTCCACAAAACACAAGTCTTCATTCACCTCAAAAATAAGTCAATTTATATATTATAATATTTGAAATTTAGTGATGATGTATGATAAACTGATTATTGTAATATTTATTATCAATCTTGCAATGTGAGTATTTAATATATTTCTAACAATGAGGCTTTTTTTTTTTACATAATGGTGTTTTTTTATCCTCAAAATTCATGTTTGAAACAGACCATAAAAGGCACCAAAAGAATTCACTTATCGCTCAAATGGAGATTATTACCTGTGAATATTTACTTAAAGTATCAAATGAAATAAAAATGTTTTTTTTTTAAAAGATAATCAGAAAAGTGTCACCAGTTTTAAAACAAACTAAAATTAACGAATATTATTTTAAGGAATTGTTTTCTAATGTAACATATAAACAACTAACTGGTTTAATTGTTTATTATTTTTTATTTCAATGCCAACATCAACAATTTTATTCAGATAACTTTAAAAATATTTGTGACAGTTTCCTCCTTGTTGTCAACTTCAATAATAGTTATATCAGGTCATGCATTTACAACAAGAAAATAATAGACAACTTTTATACTTTTTATTTTGTTATAGTGAAATTTTACTGTCAAAATGATTAATATCATACAACACCATTTTAATCTGAATGTAGCTGGTAAAAAAAACTTTATTGTTAGTGTTTCGTAAACAATATGTGTATTGTTAGTGTTTCATAAACAATATGTGTATTGTTAGTGTTTTGTATACAATATGTGTATTGTTAGTGTTTTGTAAACAATATGTGTATTGTTAGTGTTTTGTATACAATATGTGTATTGTTAGTGTTTTGTAAACAATATGTGTATTGTTAGTGTTTTGTATACAATATGTGTATTGTTAGTGTTTTGTATACAATATGTGTATTGTTAGTGTTTTGTATACAATATGTGTATTGTTAGTGTTTTGTATACAATATGTGTATTGTTAGTGTTTTGTATACAATATGTGTATTGTTAGTGTTTCGTAAACAATATGTGTAAAAATCTGAAATGTATGTATTTGCCCAGAAAGAAAATTTGTCCTTGTTTTGCTACTTAAAAAATCAACCAATAAAGTACACTATTATAGAAGAAAATACTAAACATTTCAAATTGCAAATAAGAAGGTTCAAGAGAAGATTAGGGCAGAGGGCTTTGACAAAATAAATTAAAACCTTCATACATTAATTCTTTTCTCTTGCATATTTCAACCTGGCATTTGTCCAGAACTTGTTAATATCAAATCATCAAACATCGGTTTATAGTGCATCTAATTTGTCAAGCAAATCCACAAAATCGGAAATTATTGTACAAAAATTAAAACGAAACTAATAGACGGGCACTTTGAATTTGAATTGTACAACACTGACAAATACAATCAAATAAACATCCCATAAAGTATATAATGCACTTTTGCTTGAGTGAACGTTAAATAATACAGACAGTCTTCAGAAAGAGACAAAATACTAAAATATTGAATATTTTAAACAAGTCCACTGTCGTTAACTCAAAATTTTGGCTAAAATTACCGAAATAAATAAATTCAGTTTTACAAGACTGGCAAATATATTCAAATCAACAACCCTCACTTAAAATGCATCAAAAATCTTCTCACAAAGATTAAGTAGAGACCGGTTTTAACTTTGACATTTCAACATGCATTCAAACTAGGTGACAAACTCACAATAAACTCTATATTATTTGTTACATTATAAACTTAAAGTGACTGGTTAAATTCAATTTGTTATCCGACACTATGGAATAGTAAATAACCGCTTTGTTATTCTGTAAGTATTTTTTTCATCTGTACACAAATTTCTCAGTTTTGTGGAGAAGTTAGTTAGCGCTTGTGAATTATGTAACACAAAGTTGAAATAAAGTGACTGGTTCAATTAAACTTATTATCTGTAAGTTTTGACTATGGAATAGTAAATTAGCTCTTGGTGAATTCTGTAAGTATCTTTTCTTTTTGTACACAATTTTCTCAGTTTTGTGGAGTAGTTAGTTAGCGCTTGTGAATTATGTAATACAAAGCTGAAATAAAGTGACTGGTTCAAATAAACTTGCTATCTGTAAGGTTTTTGAGTCGTTAGTTGTCAGAATGGTGAGTCAAGTAAACACCTGCTCTCCAGTCAGTGGAGGCAAAAAAAAACGCAGACATTCAAAACCATAAACAAGATGATGATTTTGAAGTCGTGATTAATTTTGTCATGTTCACAACGTAAACAATTCTTAAAACAATTTTAGGTTTTCGTGAATAATGGCGGTTCAAGCCATTTCAAACACAATGTACTCTAAGGGTGAAAATCATTATTGAACATCTGCACTACTCCCTGGGCAAGGCCCTCTCAGCCCAGTGGAACATTTACACTGCACTGATATTATTATAGACAGCTCTTCTTGCGGGATTCAGCCCATTTGAAACTAGCATGGTGCCGAGCCCCTCTTAACCTGTTAAAACTGCCACTTTTTCTGCGGAACCTTGCTCGGTCCAGATAATTTGTGCTTATGATATCAATATTCTGAATGATATACATACTGTTACTTTAACCTAGTAAGTATATGGTTGTATTAATCTGACTCTCAATCTATCAGTAAAGTTTCTCACTGTTGAGAGGTTAGATAATAATGCTTAGTAGTTGTGTAAGCAACCAAATTTTTTTAAATCTATTTTCTAACATTTCATATCAAAATATTATCTCATGTAATATGAGAACTTAAGATGTGTCTTGTCTTTCAAAAATCTTAAAAACTGAGTATTTTTGTAAAGTGCAAAACAAATTACTATGTCAAAGAAAACATACACCCTCAGTAGCACTCTAAAATTACAAAAATTCATTTATATATCAGGGACTCTGATAGCAATGATTTACATCATTTAAATTTTCAGTCAGATGTCTGATATTCCACTAAAAACAAGCTTAATGACCTTCTCTATAATACTTCTCTATCTTGGTAATAGATTCAACATAAAAAGTTTTAATCAACCACTTGAAGATAGGGCATGAGAATTGAAATAGGGAAAGAACAAGACAGACAACTTGACAGGCTTGACTTGAAGAGCAATTTGTATCATTATCAATAGCAGAGTATGTTTTGGTTCAAATAGATTTAGCCCTATAAAAAAACTCCTGGCCCTATGAAATGGTTTGCGAGTTTTTTTGACAGGGATCAAGGCAATATAGGTCCTCATTATGTGACATCACTGAAATTCACTGAGGAAGGGGGTCTTTGTGTTCTTGAAACATGTTGGACCTGAAGATGAATTTTTATAGTTATCTATAGCAGATTATTATATTGTGGATCAAATAAATTTCACTCAGTAAAAAAACGTTGTGAAATAGTGTTCGTTTGTATTTGTTAGTTGAACATTATAACGTGGGCATGTATAAACTGTCTTTGAAGAAGAAAACTCTACGTTAAGACAACAATATACCTTCTCATTATGTGACATCACTGAATTTTCACTGCACATTATTACGTGGTGTATAAAAACTGTCCTTTGAGAAGATAACATTAGAATATAAAGTGGGTTGAAATAGAAATAGAAATTGAGTTAGGATTGAAGAAGGATATAAGAGGCATATAATGTTTACTTAGTTCAGTCTGGTTATTCATATCATACCCGGGCATTATTATTATAATAAATAACATATTATACACCTGACAGTATCACAATTACATAGTCTATATCTCACACATTGGGTATAGAGTAGCAGGATTGAATAGATATACCTGTTACAGGTATTGATCTTTAGTTATCATAGGATTAACAGATTAATATATGCCCTATGGATTAGGATTTATTATCAGTATGGCTTGGATCATTAGGTACGTACTGTTAAATTTATGTACTATTCAAACTCCACCTTTTAGTTATCATTAGGTATATACTG